GAGAACGGGTGTCTGACTGGCTGGACCTGACGGAGCAAGCATTGGTGGGGCTGTCGGACGAGGTCAAGCTCCAGCGAGTCCTAAGATATGTCCTTCATAGCCACCATCAGGAARWGGGCAAGGTCGTGGATGCCGCCAATGGTAGTTGGGCGAGGTTCARGGACATGATGCAGAGAAAGTACAGGTTGGGGGATGGCTTGCTAACCATGGCGGATTTGGAGGCCATGAACAAGGAKGACTTCTCCACGATTGGGGYGTTTGTGCACGAGTTTAAAARGAAGGCGCGGAAGGTGCACGGGATCTCCGAAGAAACGYWGTGTGCCATATTCTTGGGTSTGCTTACTGGCTCGGAGGCCTCGGAGCTGACGGGTCACGGAGGGGGAAGTGAGAAACTCACCTGGGCCACTATCGACAAAGGGGTGGAAGAGGGGAGCCTGAACCAGGTGGAACAGCACCAGGTCTGCAAAGGCGCAAGAGAAAGGAAAGGGACGCCACCTCGTCCGGGACCCCAGGGGTGAAGAGGATCGTCACGGACGTATTGGCAGCGCTGGGGTATGATAATGAGGCGGAAGTGCAAAAGAGGGGAGTGATCGTGGCTCAAGGCCGGGCGTCCGGGGCAGTGGAAGAGGAGGCTAGGCGCGAGGACTATGGCGGAGAAGAGACGGGCTCCCAGATCCTAACCAAGGCTCAGAGGAAGCAGCGGAATTTACAAGTGGGGGGTCAAGGATCCGGAAAAGGGCAGGTCCCGCAAGCGATTGCTGCGCCGCCACCTGCTGCCTCGACAACGTCGGCGACGGCCGGACCGTCATGTATGGGGCCGCCGCCGGCTTGTGGGCACTGGGTGCCACATTGTCAGCCTGCATCCTGGCCCAGTTGCAATCACTGCACCTCGTGCGGGGGTAGTCAAACTCACCCCGGGCAAATGGTCCCTTATGCGGGCCCAGCGGCAAGTATGGGGCCCCCGAGCTACCCTGCAGCCCAGGGTCATTTTGTGGCCCAACCACCTCCCTCCCAACAGGCCTCGCAGGCTAGCGTGGCCGGTGGAGGAAACCAAGGACAAGGCAGACAAGGCAATGGAGGCCGAGGTCAAGGGGGTCGAGGAGGTGGCGGCCGAGGCCGGGGAGAAAATGGTGGGGGTCGTGGGGGTGGTTGGAATGGTCAAAGGGGCCAGAACCAAGGTGGCTGGGGCGGCCAGGAAGGGGGCCAAGGGTATGGGAGGCCCCGCTTTGATTGGCGAAATGCCACCTGTTGGCATTGTGGCGATGTAGACCACACTATGCGGTTTTGCGAGCGGCGGCGGGAGGATGTCAGGGTTAATTTCCTCATGTATGGACGGGGATATATATGACAAGTGGGGTGAGCATATCGACCCTAGGACCCCGGGAGGAATCAGGCAAGAGGCTCTCCGACGAGCAGCAGCGGGACCCACAGCACCCCCGACAATGTTTAGGATGTGGCAGGAAAAGGAAGAGCTGACCGTAAGAGTCGAGGAGATTGTAGGGGATAGTGAGGAGGTCACTCAGCGACTAAAGGCGGGGACTATAAGGGAGGAGCCAATAGTCGTCAAATCGGATAATGAGGGGCAGGAAGGCGAAGGAGAGCCGGCCATACTCCTCCTGGGGAGGATGAAAGATCTGCTTGAGAAAGTGGGGAGATACCAGCGGAAGCTGCAAGCCCTGTGTGAAGAAGCCCGAGAGTGGGAGGCCAACCTGCCTTAGGGATTCCTTTATGACTTCGGGCCAGAGCCTTCGCGAGGACAACAAGGGTGCCCAAGAGTGGCGACTGTAGGGACGGGCCCTAGGTCAGGTATGACCTATAGACCCCCCACGTCACATGGGAGGGTGCGGCAGGCAGCTCGGACCAGGAGCCAAAATAAGGTTGGGCCTAGTCAAGAGCCCAGTCAGGCGCCCAAAGGAGCCGAAGCCTGGACGTAGGAAGGAGGTGGTAGAGGTTCCGGAGGAAGAGGAAGAGGATGACGATGAAGAGGATGAGAGGCTCCGACAAGAGGATGATCAACGGGCGGAGCTGAGGGCCAAAAAGAGGAAGGCCCAGGAGGAGGCCGAGCCAAGCCTGCCCGACAACGTGCCTAAGAGGAAGAAGTACGCGGTCCGGATGGAGGAAGGCTTTGATGTGGAGCGGATGGTGGACAAACTCCTGGAAGGCCATAATGACTTGATGAACCTAAAGGACATCCTGGCTTCGGCGCCAAGGCTCCGTGGTGAGTTGAAGGGACGACTGTCGCGAAGGCTGGTGCCAAATGTCCATCTGAGTACGGTCCTGCCTAGAGAGGTGGAGTGGACTGAGGCAGGGACAAGGATGGATTGAAAATGTGTGGCGTGCGAGCAGGTGGATTTGGTGATAAGGAACCAGAAGTGTACTTGGATGGTGGACACGGGCGCAGAAATGAAGATCATCAGGGAGAAGGAGGCGGTGATGATAGGCGTGGAGATCGACCGCTCGGACCATGGCATGCTGCACGACGCTAACCGCAAGGCCGCCTTTTGCGGCACAGCGTCAAATGTGATTATAGAGATTGGAAAGGTGCAAGCCAGGACTTGCTTTTTCGTTATGCCCGATGTCGATCACCCCATCCTTCTGGGGCGGTCGTTCCTGTGCCGGACGAAAATGTTGATCTTCAACAAGCACGACGGAACAATGATCCTGCTCCTGTGCGACCCGGTGTGTGGGAATTATGAAGTTATCACCTGCCGGAACACGGGGCCGGGGAGCGGGAGGAATAGGCCCAATCTAGGCTCGTTCACCTTTGAAGAGTCAGAGAATGAGCGGAGACGGTTTTGGGAAGTGCCCGAGGAGGAAGATAGGACTAAGGTGCTGACATTGAGCCTCACGGATGTGAATAAGGCCATGAAGTTGGTATCGGCTCACGACATGGAGGATCCGGAGGCCATTAAGGCATTGAGGGAACAAGTTTTGGAGAACCCTCAGGTGGGGAAGGTGGAGTTGGTGTATCGGCTTCCGGGAGGGAGGGGAGGCCCTGCGATGGCCCAGGCCCGAGCGACAAGTCGGCCTTTTTTTAGGGGAGGGCTTAAGCAGGGTTCCCAAAGGCGGTACAAGACCATAGATAAGAAGTGCCGCCCAGTTTCCATGCTCGTCACAGAGGATGAGGAAGCCTACTACGAGCGGGAGCGAGGGTTGATACGGCGTATGCGGGAGCACGCGTTGGATGGGCTGTGTCGTATCAACGACGAAAATGAGGGGAAGCTGATAATTGGGGAGCCCGACTTTCTATCGCCCCAGGAGAGAGCGTTGATGGTGGGGCTGATGAAGAAAAGGCACCGCGCGTATGCATTCAACGACGACGAGCGTGGGAGGCTGGATGTGGACAAGATCTCGATGATCAGGATCCACACGGTCCCACATGAGCCATGGAATCTAAGGGGCGCGCGGTACCCCAATCCGGACGAGGAAAAGATGGTGGTGGACTACCTGGACGGCAAGATGCGGACGCACGTGGCCGATTATTCCAGTGGGCCGTATGCTTCGTCTTGGTTTTGTTTTATTAAGCCAAATGGGACACTAAGGTGGGTGCAAAACTTGCAACGGCTAAATGCGGTGACAGTGCGGGACGCGGGAGGATTGCCGAACGCGGATGCACTGTCAGAATCGTGCGCAGGGAGGCCTATAATCTCGCTTATAGACCTCTACTCGGGGTATGACCAATTCCCCGTATACCTGCCAGACAGGCCCGTAACGACAATGCACACTCCCAGAGGGCTGATTCATATGAATGTGGCGCCTCAAGGTTGGACGAATGCAGTGACGATGGTGCAAAGGCATATGATCAGAGCCATGCAGATGGTCAACCCACATATCACTCAGCCCTATATCGATGACCTAGCGGTCAAAGGTCCGAAGGAGAAGGAGGAAGACGAAGTGATGCCCGGTGTGCAGCGCTTTGTCTGGAAGCATGTCCAAGACATCGATCAGGTTCTGGGGTTATTGGAGGAACATAACCTGACGGCGAGCGGCCCTAAGACGAAACATTGTATAAGGGAGGCCACGATTCTAGGCTTTGTCTGTAATGAGAGTGGGCGAAGGTCTGATGTAAAGAAGAGAGACAAGATTCTTGAGTGGCCGGTGCCCTTCCGCTCGGTAACAGATGTGAGGAGCTTCCTTGGGACGTGCGGATTTTGGAGGAGCTTCGTGAAGGACTTTGCCACGAAGATGGAAAATTTAAGGAAGTTGGTGCGCCAGGATCAAGAATGGGTTTGGGGCGAAGACCAGGAAGAGGCGGTCGGTAGGATGAAGGGAGAGTTTAAGGAAGGAGGCTTGGTATTGGGAGCGCCAAACTATGAGGCCACGAAGGAAAGACCATTCGTCATTGAGACGGACGCAGGGCCAACTGCCTTGGGAGGAATCATGATTCAGGCAGATACTGAGGGGAAGGAGAGGCCGCTAAGATTCGAAAGTCGCACCCTCAATATAATTGAGAGGAACTACTCTCAGTTCAAGAAGGAGACGCTGGCGGTACTTCATTGCCTAAGGACCTTCTGGAACTATGTTTTTGGCAGGAGGCTCATCTTGAGGGTGGACCCTACTGCACTAGCATGTTCCCTGAAGAATTATACTCCATCTGACCCAACCGTCGCAAGATGGTTGACCTACATTTGGATGTTTAATTTCGAGTTGGAAAGGATCCCAGGGAACAAGAACAGGGCAGATGGGCTAAACCGCATCAACTGGGACGGATCGGACGAGGAATCGATAGAAGACACGCCGCCAGTTGATGGGTTTTTGGATCAAGAGGAGGACGTCCGCCTGCACATAAACGAATGGTCCCTGCGAGTGCCCAGTTGCGTCAGTCACCCCATATGGCTGGCACCAAAGGGGTACGAGTAGAAGGAAGGGTTAGTCCTTAAGCCCTTTCAGGAGGAGGATCCGTGGGGAAGTAAGGATGTTGGTTGGATGATGAAGTTGGCGTTGGCAGGTACGCACAGTCTGGTGGAGCAAGTGAGGACAATAGAGGAAGGCCCCACTCAGGTAGAGGAGCATGAGCAGCTAATGGGACGGATGTACCTGCTCACCAATACGCTCCTGCAGGGAGACTTCGACCGGAAGGGCTCGTTTAGTCACGAGGAGAATGAGATTCTGGTTCCTAAAAGCCGAGACAACGAATTCGAGGAAGGAGAAATCAAGGAGGCGTTTCGGGCGGAGGAGTACGATGGGATCTACCGGGAATTGGGGTTGCTCCTATCATGTGAGATGAGGGATAGAGATGCAAGTGCCAAGGCACAGAAGATGAGGCACCTCTATGTGGTAAGAGACGGCCACTTGTTTATAAAGCGGCAGGTCGGGAACCCCAAGAKGATYGTATGTGGGAGAAACCGGCAAATTGATATCATAGCGGCCCTACACGATGGTAGAGCAGGGGGGCACATAGGAGTAGGTGCCACATGCGCGAAGATAAGCGAGCTCAACCACCGGGATGAGATGCTGACGATGGTTATCAAATATTGTCGGTCCTGTATACCTTGCCAAGAGAGGTCAGCGCAAAGGCCTGGAGAACCCCTACACCCAAGGTTAGAAAGGGAAGTGGGTGCGGTCGTACACCTGGACCTGTTATTCATGCCAACAGGGGAGAATGGGTGTAACTACATCTTCGATGCACGGGATAACCTTACTGGGTTTGTGGACGGACGAGCTATCCGGACGAAGACTGGCCCGGTTTTGGCGAACTGCATCGAGGAGTATCACCTGCGATACCCTTTTGTCAGGGAGTTCGTGATGGATCGAGGATCAGAGTTTACCTGCAATGAGGTGAGGACGTTGCTTGCAGGGTATGGCGTAGTGGCCAACTATACTATGGTCGCACACCCTCAAACGAACGCTCCTGTGGAGAGAGGGCACAATACCCTCACGAATCTCCTGGCTAAGTGGACATAGGGCAAGCCTGGTCAGTGGCCGAAGTTCCTACGGGCAGCTTTCTTCGTGGAGAATGTTACTGTAAAAAGGACTACCAAGTACGAGCCAACCACGCTATGGTACGGGAGGCATGCCACCTTTCCCATAGAAAGCTTTATGAAGACGTGGAGGCGCCAGGACTTGGAGGTAAACCTGTCTTTCGAAGAACTGCTCGGTATTCGGGCGCGGCAAGTGGGGCGGCCGAAGAAAGATTGCGAGAGGCCGCTGGTCAGGTGGAAAGGAGTCGCATGGAAGATAAGATGAGGTGAGACTAGATGGCACGAGTAAGAAAAGAGTCATTGGCAATAGGGGATGTCGTATTATTATACGACTCCTTTTTGGAAAAACAATGGTTGAGGAAGTTTGACAAGAGATGGTTGGGCCCCTATAGAATATTGGGATGCGGCGAATTTGGGGCCTATCAGATCGAGGAGCTGGATGGGACAGGCTGACAGGATTGGGTATCAGGGACCAGGCTGAAGAAGTTCGTGGCCAGGGAATAGGTAAATAATTCTACCCTCCTCAGAGTAGACTGGTCCTTGAGGTATCGCATGTTATGGTCAGGACAGGGGAGAGAGTAGGAAAAGGCATGTGTGTTGTCATAAAAACTTGATGAGCCGAGGGCTAACTTTGTTGTGTACCTGCTTGCTTTCTCTCGCCTGTTGTGCAGGTCTGACTTTTCGAAGACAGCCATGCAGAGGGGCGGGAGGGGCGCGCGGCCACGACAGAGGCCTCAGGGAGCATCAGGAGGGGATGACTCGCGCAGACCGGTTGGGAGGGAGTCCACGCCTATCTTCGACGACGGTAACATAGAGCTTTTTCTGGACTCCTACCAGGCACATGCGACATGGGAGGGCTGGTCTGCCTTGGAGAGGATACGGCACCTAAGGGGAATTGGGCATTTTGAGGAGCCTATGGCGCACATCCGGGAGGAGGCTTTGACCTAGCAGGATGTGGAGGCGAGGATGCAGATGCTGAGGGCTTCGCCAATGGGACCGGACGGATTGCCTATTCGATTGGAGGAAGGCAATGAGGAGGAGTTCATCCCGGCCTATGAGCAGTATATGCGCGACCAGGGGACTGGGCAGGAGGAGTGGATGCAGATGCTGCCCCTCTGGACACGGAGGGCGGAGAGGTCGTTGGCGAGGCAGATCCGGGACAGAGCACGCGACTGGGAGGACTGCCAGACCCAGTTGAGACATGCATTTCGACGACTTGAGCCCGAGAGACCAGAGCCCAGGGTGAAGAGACGACAAAGGAGTAAGAGGCCACGGGGTCCAGAGGCAAGAGGGACCACTACGACCAGAGGGGGCCGAAAGGCCTTGGCACAGCGAGAGGGGCCAGCAGAGGCCACCCAGGCGGTGGAGCCAGTTCAGGCCGCGGGGCCAGCTCAGGCGGCGGAGCTACCCCCTACCTATGGACTCGAGCAGGTGGAGTTTCGCCGAATCACGGACAGTGATCTACGGGGCCCGTCGCCGGCATTTCCAGAGGGGGGGGAGGCGGTGTCATTGAGGACGCCGCTCGACAGGTTGGAGGCTCATCTCGATGCGTCCCAGTGGGGGGCGTCGCAGCTGGGAGCGGACCAGAGCGGACCGGCACGGTATGAGCCAATAGAGGATGAGCCAGAGGAGGAGCCACCTGAGCCGGGGCCTGAGGCGGGGTCTCGCGAACCCGAGGAGCCGCAGACTGAGGGGGTTATCACTGTTGGGGATGATACCCTTCCTCCTACCCCGATTCCAGAACAGGCGTGGCAGTATTGGCCTGAAGGAATTCCTGAGCCGGACAACAAGGAGATGTTGGGGCCCCCACCGAAAGCTACTACGCCATCCCCGACACAGGCGGAGCCAGAGGGGGGCGAGAGGGCGAGGACACCTACTACTGTGGCGCCACAACTAACTGAGTCTACAGGTGCACGCATGGATGTGGAGGTGCTGACATCCGGGGAGCCTCCGCCAGAGCCTCCACCCGCAGAGGAGGGGACTAGTGAGAGAGATCCACTGCGAGAGGGTCACGAGGCGAGGACAGGAAAGCCACCGGAGGAGACGAAAGAAGAGAAGCGCGCGAGGGTGCAGGTACGCCTCGAAGAGCTATACCAGGAAAAGCTTAGGATGGAGGCCGCAGGAGAAGCGCCAAAGCCGCCAATTGACCCTCCGACGAGCGAGCAGAGGATTAGCGAGGTTTGGGCCAGCTATGAGAGTGAGAGGGATGCTGCTCGCCTGAGGTCGCAAGAGGTAGGACAGGAGAGTGCAAGGGTGGACGAGGCACGAGAAACAAAGGACTTGGGATTTTCAGCCGCCAGGATGGAGATTGAGCGTGCAGACAGGAGGATAGGTGAGGTGGCGATCCCGTCCTTCCAGCGGTACTCCATGCTTAGCGATGAGTTGGCGGCCTCGAGTTTAGAAGTGGGACAGTTGTCCACCCAATTGGCGGAAGAGAGGGCAGAGAACCAAGCGTGGAGGTCCCGCATGGAAGTCAAGGAGGCGGAGTGGGAGAAGAGGCTCCAGGACATGGCGACAATGGTAGAGAGGCTCTCGGCCACTAAGGTGGTCGACTGGACGGAGCAGAGCCGGTATGGTATCCAGGGGAAGGAGGTACAGGGGCTCTTTGGCCAGGAAGGGACGACAGAGACGCTACAGCAAGAGGGAATGGGGAAGGTGTTCCTGGATCCGACAGAGGTGGCAGCAAAGCGGGAGGCCGAGGAGAGGAGGTTCAGCTTCAGAACTCCCACAGAGTTGGCCTCGCGACAGGCCACCCCTATGACGATTGAGGGTCCTGGGGACGAGCCGACGCAGAGACCCCAACCTCCAGTGGCGGAGGGGGGGCCCACAGAGGAGTCCCCTACGATCGTTTTGGAGGTGCAGGAGGGTGCCCTTACGGGAGCAGCAGCATCCACTGAGCCGGAGGTAATGGGGGGAGAGGCGTCTCGACTGGACGAGTTGGTGGCAGCTATGGAGCTGGACATGCCGTCAGGAGGGCCTCAGAGGCAGGAGACCCCGGAGCGCGTGCCAGAGATAGGGGAGCTGAGGACGCAGTTAGGCTCTTGGTCTACTGGAGATGACTCAGGAGAGCACATCTCAGAGTAGCAGCAGGAAGTTATGAGCGAGCCAGCGACTGCCGTGACTCCCCAACCTTCTGACCTGCATAGGGACGAGGGGGCGACTGCGATGGAAGGAGTCTGCGAGGGTAGGCCACTGAGATTGGACACTCCAGCGTACCGACCCGAGGGAGATGAGATGCTAGCAGGGTCGAGTACCCAGATGATGGAGGCAGGACCGGCAGAGTCATGGAGTATGCCCCAGAGCCACGAGATGAGCAGGGAAACTAGCGAGACGCCGCCGTTGCCTGGGTCCCAGAAGAAGAAGAGGAGGTGTCGAGAGAGATCAGACGATCAGTGTTTCTTCTGCAAGGACGGCGTACATAGGGCTCTTGAATGCCCGAAGTTCCTTAAGGACAAGGCGGCTGGGAGAGTGACAGAGAGTGCTGGGAGGATGTACGACAGACAGGGGCGAGTGGTAGAGCGAGCTCCAGATGGGGGTAGGTCACAATTGTATAGGCAGAACCAGGAGACCATGAGTGAGTAGGGGCTGGCCTGTCTATATGACAGTAGGACTAGAGTTCCTCTGTACCCAGAGGTCGGGTTAGGGATGTACGTACTCTGAGTCGGTTGAGTGGGTCCTAAGGGGTGTGCACGTCTGAGTTCGTCGTGGGAGTCCTGTCTAGTTGTACATACATAGGTGGCAAGGCTCAGTCGGTCATTGGGGTTTGTGTGTGTGATACAGTTCGGCGGGTGAGATTCAGTTGTGAGATACCTGTGACTGTGTGATTTGTACATTAGGTTTGGAGGTTTGGAAACCTTCTTTACATTTCTGATTGGATCCTGAGAGCCATAACACTTGGGGTGTGAGTCCACCCTGTAGAGTGTATAAGGAACAAAGTGTTGAGTTGTTCACTGGAGCGGGCATCCTATTCCTAGGTATATCCTAGGAATTGTGTGCGTGAGAGCTTGAGTTGAGTGTTGTATTGAGACTTGAGGTAGATATTCTGCTCCCGAGTATATTTTGACTCCACCCTCTGTGGGATTTACTCTTGTGACGATCACGGTCACTCTCACACGTGTGGCTTTATCCCAATGAATGAGGGCTTTGTGTGAGAGATGTGTAGGATACATCTCGTGTATGTGTATTGTGTGATTGTGATTGCCGTCTACTCTTCGGTATACTCGTACGACCTGCCCATGGGCGGGTGAAATGACCGAGTATAAGGGGAGGCAGCGCGGCTGTTTGGTGACAGATGTGTGAGGACCCTAAGGGGTCTTGCGTGCCTATAAGACTCAAATGGTTACCATGCTGAATGTTTATGGCTAAGTTGTGAAGGCGACCCATAAGTTGGTCCCCCAGTTTGAGTTGTTTTGCGTATGAGTTGACAAAGAGGACCCCTAAGTAGGCCCTCAGTGAGTTGCTCTATGGTGGAGACCCCCTTCAGATTACGGAGGGTGGGAATGCTGGTTGCTGACGGTTATATAACCGAGGTCGCGTGATAGTCCATCCTATGAGAAGAAAGGGATGACTGGGAGACCCATTAAGAGAAACCTCCTTCATGTGAGAAGTGGGTAATGGATTTAATGACCTGGTAAGCAATGTTTGAGTGATAAAGTCCGACGAGAGGAACCAGGGTTACAAGTTAGAACCATTGGTGAAACCGAGAAGGTCGCAAGTCAGTGCATAAAAATGTCATGGGATATGTGGTCTGCTGCCTCTGATCAAGTCTAGTAGGCCAAGGCCTGGTGTGAGCCTAGAGGTGAATCTGTTTGTGATTGTGAAAAGGAGGCCACGCTTCCTATGTATTCCATAGGGAGCTGGTGAACGCCTTTAAAGTGAGACAGACCCGTGCGTAGTCCCGCTGTGGGTCTGTGATCTGTTTTGCGACGCACCATCTAGACACCTGTGCTAATCCTAAGGCATATTGTGGAATACCAAGCTAGACGGTAAAGGCTAGCACCCCTAGGACGCAACCCCTATTGGATGGCTGCAAGCCAGCACAACCTGGCTGCGGGCCCACGTCTACCAGCAGAGTAAGAGTTTAAGAGATTATGCACGCCCCAAGGAAATCACTCTGGTGGAATGGCGGGGGATACGAGTCGAGTCGTTTGGATGCCTTGATTGAATGCCTATCAGGAGAAAACCTATCGTTGCGTAACCAACAAAGAGACTGCCGCTAAGATAACAATGCGGTAGGCTGTAGATCTGGCTCGATCAACCAGACTATGGTGGGCCATGATCGAGACCTAGTATTTATGTACTAGACTGTAGAAAGGGCTGAGAGGAGATCTACGTATACATATATATGTTTGATTGTGAGGATTTTCGCGGGGAAGGCGAGAGTGCCTTCTGAGGTTTCGTCTAATGCCTGCGTCCCCGTATGACTCTGCTTGTAAGAGAGAGTCTAACCGGGACACCCAACGAAAAGTCGGCGTTTGTTTAGGACGAAAGGGGAAAGGACGGTTTGAGGTGGCCTTTGGAACTTATACTGTAGTATTGATGCGTAATACACCTGCGTACTAGTGTCAGGACAACGGAAACCCAGGCTGAAACCCTGGCAGCATATAGTTATGTCGGCATGGAGTGTTGGAGGCCTCAACCCTGAGTCTGTCGGTTTATCGGAATTGGTTCCGCTCTCGTCAGCATTTGGAGTGTGAATGAGTTTGTAGCTTTTTGATTTGGCGTAGCGACGGGGACGTCGCTTAATATGGTCCGGTAGGCTGTCGACGCGAATACCGTTACAAGGGTATCCACCCTGGTTTTTGCAAATGACAGGAAAATGGGTTTGGTTGAAATAAGTCGTGCGAGGCACGACCTCGTCCGGGACCCGTCCCGACTAAGTTAGGGGGTATGTGGGCACGCAGCGTAAGGCGCGCGTGTGATCTTTCTGATTGAGTGAGCGGCTGGTCTACTCGACCGACCTGGACCGTGCTACGGTTTTGTAGGGGACGAAGGTTCGTTTTTGGTTGGTATGCGCGATCGGCGGTAGGACTGGCGCGTCGGTGGGCACACGGGGCGGCCACGGCGAGGCCTAAGCAGGTTGGCGAGGGTGCCTGATGTTGGCATGCCGGCAGCGGTAGGCAAGGAAGGCCTGGGCTGCGGCTCCCAGGCCGGGGCACGGCGCGACACCACTTCATATTGGAATCCGCGCCTAGTTGTCCCAAGCTTGGGCTTAGCCCTATAGGTTACGGTATTGGACTATCGCTATGAAGGTTTGGGGATCGAGGCCAGCGGGTGGCGGCGCAAGAGCAGCGGAGCGAGACCGAAGAAACTAAGGGGTTGAGGGCCCGACGGGGCTATCCCCCTCAATTTTATTGGTATGCGCGACGCCGGGGCCGACTCACAGGACTGGCGAGGTGCCAATAGCCGCCCCCCCATATTCTAGTTTACCTATCCTATTTTTTAATGTGTTTTTATTATCTATTCACGTCCCGCTTCGACTTGGGACGCGAGACTGTGACGAGTACAGGGCCCCAAGAGCCTGGCTCGGTAGGCATGGCGGCAGGGTGTAAGGGTATRAGCCCAKATTTGGCTGGAAAATGTTGGCCCGCGCGGGGCCGGTCGGTCCCTAGGAAAGAAAGAAAAAAGGGGGGGACTTCGGGAATGAACCCGAACGAGAATCGGACCGGGCGCGCRCAAAAARGGGTGAGACGGTTGTTTGGGTTCGATAGTGCCGAGRGGCGCTTGCTTGGCCGAAGTCCTTCGRGACATCCGTTAAAATTGGAACGATGCAGAGAGGAGTAACGCGGCTCCTGCGCAAAAGAGGCRGGTATAAGTTAAGGAATTTTTGTCATTAGCTCGTTTTGCCTTGCGGTCGAAACGATCGAATACCGCGCTGTCTAGGGGCCGCGGTCTGCGGATTGCTGTTGATCACAACACAGCGGAGTGCCGGKGTGGTAAGYGGTGRAGTAAGGGCTGAACCCGGACTGTACGTGGCGCTCGGTGCAAGCGGAGAGAGGAGTGAGTTGACAAATGGGTAGGGGAACGGCCGCACGATGCAGAGGGAAGGTAGCGGTGAGGCAGGATGCACCTGGGCAGGTGCTCGCGGTAGGCGCGTTCAAGGATAGAGGAAAGAAAGGGAAGAAGATACGAGGTGCGCACGAAGGAGGTGGGCGGACTGAGCGAGCGGGGGGATCGAAGCTCAAGGCCGTGGGAAGCGGACGAGCCCGGACGGAAAGGCAACCGGGTGCGCGTAGGAGATGGTAGCAAGGGATGTAGAGTAGGGGAAGGTTGCGGAGTGAAGGGGGGGGAAGAGAGCGGAGAGAGGCGAGTTGCGCTGAGTGAGCAGCTGAACGAGGTGAGCATAGGCGGGCGAATGAATCCGGGCGGGGGTCCGATCCGAGTGCGCTCGACGATGGGAGGAAAGGCACAGGGAGTGGGCGTGAATGGGCCGAAGCGACGAACGAGGTAGCAAACGACTGCACGACGAAGGGGCGGAGTGTTGCAGGGGACGAATGAAACGGGATAGACGTACCGGCCGGGTACATTCGAAAAGGAGGAGGCGGGTGGAGGACTCGGGCGTGGTAGAAAGGTGGGAACACAACTTATTGGAGGCGGATTCGGGAGGGGAGAGAGATGCCCCGGGGGTTTTGGCCCCGGGCGGAGTCAGTTATGAGGTCTGTTGGAGAAGACAGTCAGTAGAATAGGAGATTAGAAGAAAACTAGTGCGCGGGAGATGGTGGCGACGAGAGAGAGAGAGAGGGAGGAGCACATACCGACGAAACTGGCGGCGGAGAGGCGGACCGGAAGTCGAWCTAAGGCGCGTGCAGTGTACGGATAGGCGGGCGAGCGGGTGGGTGCGAGACCACTGTGAGATGCCTGTCTCAGACACCCGAGGCTGGCACGAGTGAACCTGGCCATGTGGGTGGCCGGGTGCATTCGCACCCTAAAGAAGTAGCGAGGGGACGGGCGGCGACTCCGAGTTGTGCAGATGCTTGGTGAATGGGGTAATAGCATTCTCCCACTCCGCTTCTGTAACCCTGAGCGGGCCTGCCTATGCACGCGAGCAGGTGCCTCACGTGTAAGAAGGGGGGGAGGGGGGTGAGGAGAGTGACTTACCTTCGATGACAGAGAAGCCGGACGGTCCATCTAGACCTTGTTTGCCCGACTGATGGTGGGAAATGTGAGTGGGCAGGGGATTGACGACTTACCTGAGAAGCGGTGTTTTGCTCACCACTGGCGAACGCAATTGCATTAGTGGTTGGGCCTAGCTAGGCCCACAAATGTCCTGTTGCTGATGACCGCGGCTTGGCGGTGTTGCTG